AAATTTCATTTATGTTAGAGATAAGGTCAGGGTTAGGGTTGGAATCAGAGGAAAGTAGTTTATATAGTAAAATTGTTTAACAAAACTTTTTATTAAAGTAAAGATGATTTCTTATACAATTTTTGAAAAGTAAGTGACTTTTTAACAAAATGGATGTTTGTTTTAACTTTTCTTGATCATGCCTGATCTTGAAATCTGATTTGTAGTTCAGAAAATCTGTGCTCCAAACCTGGCACATATTCAAAAATTGCAAAACTAATTCTACTATCAACTATAATTTGTTGTGCTAAAATTATATGTTATATAATCTGTATATGTTACCATGTAATTTTCACTATTTAGACTGATTAGAAATGATATTTAAATTAATTATACAGGGTAAACTAAATATGACATGTAAGATTTTAATATATTAGATTTATACAGAGTAAACTAAATGTGACACATAAGATTTTAATATATTAGATAGTGGGAACAAACTTGGTAGATTGATGTTTTATCAGATTGGACAGGTTATCGATTTTTGACAGAATCAGTTTTGGAAGGTTCAACAGTATACTAATTTAGTATATATATCATAAGTACATAGCAGGTATTAAAATGCTATAATACCATGTTTATTGTAACACTTCTGGATATACTATATTCTTAGTACAACCTGCTCCCACATGTCTATCTAAAGTTGAGATTTTAAGATTTTGCTTAGATGTGATTCTTGAACAGACAAAATAAAGCTGGCCATGAGAAAATACAGGAGTTTGCAGATAAACATCTACTCGATTTAAAGTTTGGCCTTGTGCCTTGTTGATAGTCATCGCAAAAGCAGGTTGTACAAAAAATTGCTGATGCATAAGCATGAAAGATAAATCACTATTGGAAGGTATGAGAGTGATACGAAGAAGAAATACACAGACTCCTGTATGTTTTTCAGTAATTATTTTGACATGTATCATGTAAGATGTAAATGCACAGCAGACTAAATGTGTTCTATTGCAAAGATCTTCTGCAGGACTTATTTTCAGAAAAGCATAATAGGAGTACCCACTTTTAAAGATAGCTTATTTGGAACATGCAATTAACTTTAAACTGTTTAAAAATTTAATCAGGTAGAGGTTTTTATAGGTGTGTCTATTAGTGTCTGTTGCTTTACCAATAGAATCTGCAATTAAATATTCAGTTGTTTTATCTGGAAATAGATTCATAATAGTTGTGTTAATTGTATCAACATTATTATTTTTGGAAGCAATAATTGCACATTTCACCAAATAGTAAGGATTATTAGCATAGATTGGAAGATCAGGATAAACAAAGCTGATCAAGCCTTTTATAGTGTTTGACAAAAGAACAATATCTTCAGGAAGGATAATGTAACTTCCTCCTGCTATTTGTGTGATATGATTTTCACCCATTTTCGGAAGCCAATCTGTGAAATTCTGCAGATTAGAAGCATCTTCAGCTTGATGTAGATGCATATTTGTTATCAGTTTCATGACTACAATATGGTGCCATAATGAGGATTGTTATAAACAGGAACCTACAATATCTTTTTGTTCTTCCTTTGGTACTACAGACAAGATTTGCTGGAAATCTCCCCCAAGCACAACAACTTTGCCTCTGAAGTGTTGATATTCTAAAGCAGAATTAAATGCTTTTATTAAATCTCTTAAGATCTGATCAACAACTTAAAATGCATGTCTATGCATTATGGGAGCCTCATCTCATATAATAAGATGGGCTTGCTATAGAAGATTTGTGAGCTCTGTTTCATGTAAGATTCTACAAGTTGAATCCTCATTTAGATCAATCAGTATTTTAAAAAGAGAATAGGCTGTATGACTCCCTTCTAGCAAAAGAGCTGCAACACCGAATGAAGCTACGACAAGAGCAATATACCTATAAGATCAGACTTTATTTAGCAAAACACTGTAGAGAAATGTTTTACTTATATCATCTGGGCTGTCTATGAAAAATATTTTGGGATTCAAGTTTTCTACTACCAAAATTACAACATTATGTATAGTTAGCTGTTCTAGGTTTAAGTATGAATGAAGTTTACTAACTCTGTGCTAGAGTAGTTCAATATCATATTGAAGCTTCTCTATAATTAAATAGTTTTGCTAAAATAGTTCCTCAGATAATAATATTGGAATTGGCATGTTTTGAAAATTTTCAAGTCTCATTTCATGCTTAAGTAGAATAGATTCCAAGTATTGTAATGCTCTATTGTGCCAGTCTGTATCATTATAAGCTTCAAGAATATCATTGCTTAAAGCTAAAATATGCTTTTTCCAAAGTAATTCAGGTCTCATGGACTGACAAAAAAGAAGAATAGTAGCAAATAGATGATGTAACTATGCTCCAGACTGCAAGTGTTTAGTCTTACTTAAATAATTATCTCATTCTTCATTATTATTAAGTAAACTTAAAGCTTTACAGGCATCTTTAAATGTATTATAATCAACTTCATTAACATTCTGAAGATTTTTAAAAGAAGTTGCACCATGCACTATATTTAATAGCATTCAAAGATAGTAGTGTTCACCTGCTCTAGAGTGCACAAAATACATTTGCCCAATTGAGTTTTCTTTTTTTCTTAATTTTTATTCTTTGATATGTTTATCAAATACTTAACAGGTAGAAAAATCACTGTAAGTAAGTTGATATGCTTCTGAAAACTTTTGGTTAGCTTCAAACTATGCAGTTAATGTAGTTTTGGTGATGGCTTTATGTTCTATTACTTTACCTAACCATTCATTATTCTAAAAAGTTACAATATGCTATCTAAAAAGATGAACCTGAAGTCTTATAATATCAGGCTTTTCATCATGCAATTTATAGTAAAATAATTTTCAAGCAGATTTGAATGCAGAAATATAATGTGCATCTAAATATAAACGAATTTCATTATTTGATTCATGCAACATTCTAATCTCTTGTAGTCCTCTAACTTTAATAGTCACATAATTATAACCTTTGTAAACATATTTGAAAAGATATTTAACTGCAATAATAGAAGTGCATATTTCAACATTTATATATGCATTATACTTAGTTGCAAAATATAGATTATAAGGCCTATCCATCTATTATCTAATTGCAAACCTCTAACTTTTACTAACTGATTATCTCTTTGACATCTATATACAGGATATCTATTATTATTACTACTTATAGTTATACAAAAATTATGTAGATATCATTTTGAACATCTTCTATCTTTCATACATGAGGCTTTTGAATATGCCACACCACAAGGACCATGCATCATCATTCATTGAATAGTTTTATAAGCTAATGGATGAATATTCTTGTCAGGAATTTCAGCAGATATAATACTGTCATAATTATCAATAGTTTTTAGTTTGTTATTTGGAGCAAGAATAATAAGAATATGCAAGTATAGAAGGCCATGCTTTTGGAATTCAATAACATATATATGTGCAATAATAGTTCCAAAAATACTGTTTTTTATAATGTTATCCAATAGAGCTTGCAGTTTAATATTAAAAACTTTGACAGTAAGATCAGAATGTTCAGATGTGGTCTGCCTATGAAGAAGCTAATTAGTAATCTCTGGCCATGTCGAATTATATGTAAAAGTAATAAAAAGGTCAGGTTTGCCTAGTGTACATACAATAGTCATTGCATCTTGATATAACTAATGCATCTAACAGAGCCCTTTCGTGAAACTTGAAGAAAAAATAATTCACTTGCCAATATTTTTTAATAATAACTTTGAGGTACCTCATCCTGCATTATCATATTATCTTACAGGCTACTATAAAGTTCAGCTCAAATTTTTTTCTAGTTATGCTTTAAATAATTAAGATGACTTTGCTCTATATTTGCATAGGCATCTACTATGTACTGCTAAAAAAGTTGCCCAGCAAGATGTAGGTCTATACCATTTGTAGATCTTACTTAAAGCTGATAAGCATAATACTGCATCATAGAAACATGTTTTTGATTATTACTATTACTAACTTCATCTAAATCCTGTGACTTCTCAATATCTACATTATATAAAAAAGACTCTTGCATCTCACTATAAAAAGAAATATTTGGATGCCACCCATCTTCACCTCTAGGAAAAAGAAGAACATAGTATAATAGAGTATATGCTCTGTGCAGCTCAGAAATGCAGATCAGATTCTCTGAACATGAATGAAGTACAATATCATGATTGTGTATAGTAGTTTCATCACTTTTATTATCTACTTAATAGCTACAATTTCAGATGCACTTGGAATATTATAATGATGTGGATCAGTTGTTCTAGAGTCTTTAATTATTATTGATAAATTTTGAGAAAGAGTTTGTTGTAAAACTCTATCTACTTGCTGAAAAACCTAAACATATGGGTTTGTTTTATGGAGCATGTTTTGAAGTTCCGTTAGAGTAGTCATATTTAAAAAGGGTATAAGACTATGTCTATTTTGTGTTTTGTGATCTGTATCAAAAATATAAATTTGCACAAATTCAGGTGAAGCAGTAGCGAGTTGAGGAAGAAGTGATCCAATCTGATAATATATTTTTCTATATATACAAAAAGTATAAATGCCCCTTGTTCCAGTAATATTTTTATTGATTTTTGCTCTATAGAAGTAAAAGCTAGAACTGAGTTGTAAGTACGTATTTTTTATCTGAATTCATGTGACTGTGAATCATTACTTGTTAAATAATTTTTCAAAATTTGTGGTAGCTCTTGAAAGGAAGAAAGAAAAACTTTTCCTTATGCATAGCATATGCTAAATAAAAGAGAAGGTTTAGATGTACCCACACACCTTTCCTCAATCTATTTCAATACACCACAATTAGTGCATGAATAATCCATTCTTCCAAGAGCATATCATTGCAATGCACTTGAATCAAAAGGACACATCTGAGCCTTTGGGACAGCTATTTGAGTAAGCATTAATATATGAACACATGATTCTATATGCTGTCATTTATGTCTTTCTGTCAGCTCAGTTGTTTGATTTATTCTTCGACATGCTGCAGCTTCTCTTCTCAATTTAAGATATCGTTCAGTAAAAGCTTCTTCAGTTAATTTATTGGTATTCATAATATATATTCTATACCTGAAAAGAATTTTTTAGTTCAATATATTATATTTCAGAAAAAATCAAAATTTAACAAAAAGTTAGCTACACTTTAAAGCTGATTTTGTGATGTCACACACAAAGTTTTTTGTAAATTAGACTTGGTCATGCCAGTATAAGAGAATTAAAATTTGGGATATTATATAAGATTCAAATTTTTGGATATTATAAGATTCAAATTTATGTCTAAGTAATCAACAAAATTATTCTAAAAACATTATATATATATACTTATACTTTGTATAAATTTTCTTATAATGCTTACAGGATCATATTATGCACTTTCAGAAAACTGTGACTCAGTCACTCCACAATCCAAAATCTTGTATAAGCAACTATAGGTACACTTTCAAATGAAGTGTTAGATTTGGCTAGTAGGTGATTAATGCTTTTAGTTACTTGGAATTAGTGAAGTCAGATATAATAAGTCATGTGATCAAGAACCTGAACAAACAACAATTTTATAGAGGTTATAGAGTTTATACTAGATATAGTGCTAATGTAATATTATGAACGATGTATAGTATTAGGACTTATTATTTAATATAAAGCAAACAAAACATAATGCTCCTTAAAACCATTTCAGTCTTTATTTATATTATTCAATTTTGTCACTTACAAATGTGACTTTATACTTAATATTTAATAAAACTACTTAAAGCTATTACAATTATTTCTTTAATATTTTTAAGGATGTTTAATTTGCTTTTACATCCTCTTCTTGTTTACTATTTACCTCTCTGTATCCAAAATACCATTTCCGATTACAAATGTAATTAATTGCACTTTGTGCATTTTATGCATTTTTCATGTGATCAGGTCATGTTTTTGGGTTCACAATATTTATTAGTCAGAGACTGTAAAGTCTGAAAATCAAATAACTTGATCTGTTCAAAAGCTAGTTGTTTATAAAATTGTTTGTGAAGACTTAATCCATATATTAATTTGTATATATATATTCAATAAATTAAATTTAATTATTAGGTAGATGACATTTTAAGCAATAAAAAAAAATTTTTTTTATTATTAAAAATGATGATAAAGGAAAAAGTTTAAGCATTAAAATTGAACAATTAAATAAGAAAATATAGCAAACACTGAAGTATTTTGAAGTTTAATTGCTGATCACTATTTAATATAAAATTACTAATTCTTTATGAAGCCACTTCAAAATTATTTAAAATTTAAAATCTTGTAATTATTAGCTTTTCATATTAGAATAATTATACCAAACAAAATAGCCAAATTTTTTATAATTTGCTTAATTGGCTAACCTGGAGTTATCAGTTATAATTATAATCAACTGATAATTTGTTGCAGGCAGATATAAAATATTTTCTACTCAAGTTATTATTTTATTCTTGCTAATTTTGTAAATATAAAAACAGTTGTCAATAAGTATTGTGAACTTTCAAAAAACTGCAACTTAGTTGCTCCACAATCCAAAATCTTATATACCCAATGATAGGTAACTATTTGAAAAAGGGTGTTAGAATTGGCTGATGGGTGATTAAGGCTTTTCATTACTTAGATTAGCAAGATAAGGTAGGGTAAATCATGTAATCAAGAACTTAAATAAACAATAATTTTTATCTGGTTTATAGGGTAGTAGTAGGTATAGTATTAATGTAATCTTATAGACAGTGTATAAGATTGGGACTTTTATTTAATAAAGCAAATGAAGCATAACGCTTCTAAGGGGCCATTTCAGCCTTTATTTATATTATTTAGTTTCATCACTTATAAATATGACTTTAAACTCAATATTGAATAATTGAATATATAAGCTATATAAAATTATTTGTATTTACTTTTCTTAATATTTTTATTTTTAAGGATGTTTAATTTGTATTTAAATTTCCACTTTATTTTCTATCTACCTGAAATATCATTCCTGATCACAAATTTAGAACTTTGTGCATTTCGTGTATTTTGCACATGATCGGGCCACAGTATTAGACTCAGTATAAAGAAAAAGTGTGTTTTAAATAAGCTACTCAAGCTCATGTTTTAACATTTATATACAAAATTTTGTAATTATTTCATTGTTCTTATTGTTTTATTTTTTAGTTTAAAATTAGCATAAAATTTTCAGAATTAAGTTTTTTTTAAAACGGATGCCCTTAGGCACTTAGATTTTTAAGCTTTAAGAATTCTATTTCAATTAAATTAGTAACTTATTTTTTAAAATTAACTATTTTTAGCTTTGATGTTAAAGTTCTAATGCCAAATGCTTATATTTCTATAATTGCTTTTATTATTATCTTTGAATACTGCTTACAGTATCTGGAAACTTATTTAAGAATTTTATTTGTTTGTAAAATTGATAATATCTGTGTGTATTGTATAAAAAGCTAGGTACTATGTTTAGTAATACATTAATATATATTAATATTAAATTATATTATATTAAAAAAAATAAATTTATATAATTGCATCCAGGTCTTATTAAGAATATATCTGCTAATTATAAAGCCAATGAAATTTTAAATTGCATAAAATCCAAATTTGGATTTCACAAAATGTAAGTTATAGTAATATAATATGAAATATCAAACTAAGCAAAGTGATTGTAAAAAAACCTGTAAATTATTATTATATTAGTTAAAAAGTAATGTAAAACATTACTTTATATTTAAAACTTAGATATATCTGCATAGTAATTAGTTATAGAATTATATTGTAGGCTGGAGAGCACTAAAAAGTATTGCTTTCCAAATAGTTTTTAATAGTTTTAAGAGTAAGGGTCAAAAATTTATTTTGTTTAAATATGCATTACAAATTATCAATATAAACAGTAATAGATAATAACACAATATATATATACAATTACAGTAAAACCATCCTAAGTATGCTTTGAGTTTAGAAACAGGAGTGACCATTAAAATTTGTAGATGATTCCAATATAGTTACACTTGATTAGCAAGCAATCATATCTCGAATTTTAGTAAATCAGCCAATCAAATTGCAAAAAAAAATTTGTAGTATTTATAGAGATTCAAAGAATATATTATAAGGCAAAGTGAAAGCATTAATTCATCTAATAAATTTACTCTCATTTTGTAGAAAGTTAAACTATCTGAGCTTTTAAAATAAGTAGTATATAACATATAAAAAAAATTATTTATCAATTGTGTAAGTAAGTCAAAATAATCTATGAATTTGAATAGTTACTTCTGTTGAGTTTAGATCATTATATAAACAATTCAGAATTTTTTTTATATGTTTACAGTAATTTTTTCAGAAGCTTGGATAGATAATCTTATCTGTAAAACAGATTAAGTCCACTAAGCAAACATAAAGCTTTCATCTTTTATTACAATATATTCAGCTAATTACTATTAATCTCAAAACTTTCATATTACATACCACCTGCTGAAGTTGTAAGTAATTAGCAATCATTATATTGACAAAATCTTATTTATAATACAAAAAAGAAGGTAAAAAATTTAAAATAATATAATAATTAATAACAATAGCATAGGAGGAATTAATTAGTTTGTATGGTTTTTTTATTGTATGTATTGCAGTGAAGTCTTTTAGCAATTTAAAAGTATATACATATAAATAATTTTAATTAACTATGCAATTTATTAATAATGTTATTATAGATGTTTTTATAATATTATAATTATAATATTATAATATAGTAAGAAGTTTATATATAAATATATATATAATATATATATATAAGATGTATTAAAATTGCAAAGGTTTTTTATTAAAATAATAGTTGTGCAAGATAGTATATGGTGTACAAGATAGAAATTCAGAATTAGACATAGAATTAAACATATAAATATATGGATTATTATTGTCTATTATTGAAGGTTTGTAGATAAACACAAATAAACACTAAAAAAATTAATAATTTTGATAAAAATTAATAAATACATGCTTGTTTACTTAATTAATGATAACATTTAATGGCATATTTATTTTAAACTTTTAGCTATAAATTTCATTTTTTAAAAATTTATGAATAGATTGAGTAATCGACATGTGATAGTTTTTTACATAATAAAATATATGATTATAATTTGCTGAATGAACAGAATGGCCCTAACTGTAATAAACAATACGTATTTTAAAAAATAAAAAAATAAATAACACATATTTTAATAATAAACAACACGTATTTTAAAAAATAATAATCATACTAATCTGAAAAAAAAATAACTATGATTGATTATAGTTATATGCACAAATGTTACACAATTATGTAAGGGTCGTCTCTTCAGTATTTTTAAATTATAGATATTAGAAAATAAGTAAATTTTAGGTAAAAGTTCTTTGCAATCTTCAATAAGTTTTTAAGATATTAGTATTTTAATATAGTTGCTTGTTATATAGAAGACTGAGTTAATGATGATTAGGCACAATGTACTAAAAAGACTAAGTATCTTTTGCAGTTGTGTAAACTAAGCTTAAAACAGTAAGCATCTTGCAGAAATATCTCATTACTTCTTAGATTCTAATTCTTTATTTAACTCTAAGAACCTTTTTTGCTATAATTTATTTTTAATTAACTATAATCTGCCAATTTTATTATCTAAATAAATACTACTACCTTTTATCCAATATCTAAAAAATAATTTATTCAACAAAACTTTTAAAATCTCTATTAATAATATACTTACTAAAACACATATCTATAAAAATCTAAAACATAAACTTCTATCTAATCACATATTTTTTTCAAGTTTACATTATTATCTATACAATAACCTTTTTATTAAATCATATTTCAAATACTCAACTCCTTATACTATCTCAGATAGTATTTTCTTCAATACACATAATAATAATAATAATTTAAATTTTATTTCTTCAAATTTATATAACTCTAACTCTATAACTCTAATAATATATCTCTCTTACAAACAACCCTCTTACCTATTATCTTTATTTTTATTAAAATTAGTTATCTAAACATTAATGGTTTACTTCAATATTTAAAAAA